TAGATGGCGCGAACGGTACCCGCGCGACCGCCGAAACCCCCGCGTCGCTGCGCAAAATATTTTATTCGCGACATTATTGCTACAATACACAAAACCAACACCTATATTCGTCCGTCCGGAAGGGGGCACGGCGATTTCGCGCGGGTACAAACTCGCTTCGTCCTCTCCTCGGCTTTTATTTATTATTGTTATTATTTTGTTTCACACGACTCGTCGGATAAACATTTTTAACCGTTGTCGCCGAAAAATACCGGATACGCGTTTCTGTGGAAAAAAAAATAAAAAATACACCAGACATTTCTGTAAAACCGACTCCGATCGAGACGTTTGATTTATTACGGCCGTTTAAACAATTATTTTCCCCGTCGTATTCCGTTTACGAACGTTTCAACGCGGGAAAATCGATATTATGTAAATCTCGATGCGTTTTATAAACTACGCCCAAAAATATTTCGTTTTTCATTTGCGAAATTATGTTTCACTCGTGACGGTTTCACCAATCGCCAAACAACGGACTTAATGAAGCTCCGGTCAACTCGAATCGTCGGTTAAACTAGAACAAATATGCGATTTTATAACGGTGATACGCGGGCGCGAAATCGTTGATGGTGAGAAGTTGAGAAGGTATGACGCACAAAGTTATTTAATTCACATCTGTGCGCAACGACAAACCGTTGCTAACGAAAAACGATTTTGAGCAGTGTTCATTTACACACGATTCGAAAGACCGTATAATGTATACGATTTTCATGAAAAAACCAAAAAACGACTACGCTACACCAACCATTTTTGTTATTTTTACCGCCGAGTACAACTTAAAATGAACCGCCCGTTAACTTTTCAAGTATTTTTGTTTGGTCCAAGAATGATATTCGTGTAGCACCTACCAAAAAAAAAAACTCACAAACATAATAAAAACGCCTATAAATAGCTCAGCAATTTTACCGTTTCTAGAGAATACCGAAATTGCAAGCCTCGATGAATGTTTTCGACTGAATTACACCAAAAAACGAAAAATTGAAAATAATGAAACCATTATTTCTGTAAATTCTCCCGTTCTCTCTGTACGTTTTTTCCCGGTTTCGCGGGGGGGAAATGACTCGCTCATTAACTAGATTAAAAACGCAACGAAAAAGGTATCTTGTTTTTTTTTTTTCCAAAGAAAATGTTCAGGCGGACAAAAGAATGTTTTAAAAAAACGCACATTATAGTAAAACCTCGCTACGCGCCGATTCTAAAACCGTTTGGAATTAAAAGTGTAGGAGGTAAAATCGTACAACGTGTAATCGCATTACAATTTCGAACCCGGTCTCGAATCGAATCTCGGCTTTAATACCGACAGAAATCTACACGGCCAATTACAGTCTCTGGACGATTAAAAGCCGGTAGAATTCCGACCGGACGATAATAAAACGGCGTTTCTGGTTCGACCGAGAGGATTATAACATTGTCCGGACGAGCTTCGAACGTCCTCGAACGTAACCGCGGCGATCGATAAAACGGATTTATCGTCGGCGTGTGTATGTGTATGTGTATGGTATATACACACACACACACGCACACACACGCGCGCACACACACCGATATACGTTTATCGTTTAACTGCGTCAAATGCCGCGGTTCACGGGCGCAATCCAATCGACAGTGTGTGTGAGAAATCGTATTTTTAGCAGGAGAAAACAAAAAAAAAATTAAAAATTAAAAACGCGCGCGTCGACGCCGCGGTCTCGAATATGGACGACCCCGTGTGTTCTTTTAATTGAACCGCAGAGATTTCCGGAGAACAACAGCTCGACACGTGCGGTAAAAACGGATAGGGCGGAAAAAAGACAACGACAGCAAACAAACAAACAAACAAACAAACCGTGACACTGGCCGGCGGGCAGCTCGCCGTTCGGTGTGGAGAGGGTACGCGGCCGCGCGCGCAACGCGCCGCATTGCACACGGGAAGCGCGGCCCGCGCGAAACCGCGTCGGCGGCGTTTTAAACGCAATTAAACGGCACTGTTATATTATCGCGTCCCGTCGGCGGCGCGTCCGCGTCTGCCCGGTGCGCCGGCCGCCGTTCGTTGAACAACCGTCGACTGTTGGCGATCGGCCGCCGCGGCCGTCGCACACCGCGGAATACCGGCGTCCGATCCGTTTACGGTTTTGTACGACGGGGTCGATCGAAAGAAACACTGCGACGGCGTGCAACTGCCACTGCTACTACTGCCGCTACTGATAACAATAATAATAATAATAATAACAACAAAAAAATAATACATGCCGGGCCGATACCGCTGCCGACGGTCGCGCCACTGTTTCAGGAGCAACGTCCGAAGGCGGGATATGTATATATGTAGAGAGAAAGAGAGACAGAGTGACAGAGAGAGAGACAGAGAGACAGAGAGAGACAGAGTGAGCGAGCGGGTAATTCAATTGATACCCGGTTAACGAAACGCGATACCGAACGGAGCGCGGTAATCAATTAATCGTGACTCGACTCGGCCCGGCGGCCCGGGTCGAGGAAAAGTCGACAAGTCGAATGTCCGGTCGACGGCGCGAATCGACGGTTCCGGCGCGAAAACACGTTCGGACCCCGTCCGTTCGCGGAATTCTTATTGCGGGTACGGAAACCGGAAGTAGTTACAGTCGCTGCACTTCTGAGAACGGGGGAGGCGAAAAAGGACAGCATAACGTTTTCCGAATACGCGAGATTCCGAATGGTTTTTGCGTAGGTCGTTTTTTTTTTTTCGAAAAAACCAGCGTTTCGCGGTAAATTCGTCTGTAACACGAAACGTCCGTGTCGGCCTCTGTGTATTGTTATTTTCTCAAATAAATGTGTCGATTGTTTTCCAAGTTCTCTCCGATTTTCTATTTTTATCTTGTACACTTGACGATCGCGTCAATACGAAGACAAAACGAAGGCGTGGAGTTCTCTCGAAAACCATAATGCGCAGTGTTATTATTATCGTTTACTCAGTCGTGTCGCCGACGCACAATTATACAATTATAAATACGAGTGAAATTGCGCGACTCAACGCGCAGAAAGCATTACGGCACAATATTAATAACACGCGAATACAAATACCGTTTTTGGTCCGGACTGATATGGCCCGAGAAGACGAAATGGACGTAATATCGTAATTATTCGGATAAAACGAAATTAATAGAAATTGTCCAACGTAGATTTAAACCATACGTATCGGCAGTCTGATTAAAACGAAATTTCGCTTTGTTTCGCACTTGGCAGTTTCCGTGATAGGCATTTTGAAATTACGTACCTTGCGCCTACTATTATAGTCAAACACGAAAGACAAATTATTTGTAAATATGTGTATAAAAAAAAAAAAAAAAAAAACATTGTTTTTATAATACGGTTCTGAGCGAAATTCGGTTATACGTGTATTAAAATGCCGTCGTTTTTACGATTTCCATCAAAATTTGATCATGTAAAATTTTGTAAAAAGGAACTACTGCGTTACTACGCGACATTTTTTTTTCGACCATTATAAATACAAATCATGACGAACCTCGCGTAAAATTTCAAGCATTCCTGCCCGGCCAAAACGATTTTATCCACGTAAAACTAAAAAAAAAACCTCGAATATATCAAATGCCTGTGTAAATATCGAACATTTTTTTTTTTTTAAAATTCTACCGCCTCTAAAAAAAATGTAACATAAGTTTTCTGCGAAAATGGCAGGTCTCTATAATTATGTTTTTACCGAATCACGGCTAAAAACAATAAGACCATTGTTTTCATATATTGTAAGAAAACTGCTTAAAAATAAAGTCCTTTTGAGTAGGTCTACTAGAGCAATAGGACAAAAGTGTTTTCGTCATTCGTTGGCTACAGCGAGATTTCTTTTGAAATCAATCGTTTACAGACACAACGAAAAAAAAAATTTTAAAAATTCGCACAGGTCGTTGAAAAAGTAGGGGGCCCTGAAAAATAATACGCGTCCGTTTCAAATGTATCCACCGTTGGCCAACCGAGAATTAAAAGGGCCTCGAAGAATTAGTTTGCCCGAGGCCCGGCAAAGCCGAGTGCGGTCCCGTCGCGGGTGGCGCGCCGTTAAAAAAACGGATAAAAAACCGTATACGCCGCGAGCGGATTCGGCCGTATCGGTTTCGCGTCGCGGCCGGCGTGCGGAATACGGAAAAGTTTAATGCCGCCGTGAGTCGGAAAACATGTCGTCGACGGAGCGACGGGGAACCGGCTTGACGGTACCGCGGCGAGACCGACACCGGTGACGGAGCACGTGTACTATCGAGTACACAATGGCGTACGGGTCGCCCGACGAGTCGGGGAGGGATAAAAAAAAAATTCGCGCTCAGAGTCCAAACAAATAAAACCAACGGCGTCCGCCGAGGAAATAAAAACGCGCGCTTTCTATTGTTTAATGCGCGCGGTTCGGATGTTCAACAATATCGTACGGTGTTGGGATATTATCTCGTAAAATAAATTCGGACGTTTATCTCGCGATAACAAAAAAAAAAAACGCCACATATTTGATTCGTGTTATATTGTTTTTTTTTTTTTTTTTACACATATAATACGTAAGAGAAATTTCACTATTCGGAATAATTATTCAAATACCGTCGCTATAACGCCCGTACGTTTTCGGAATGGATTCTAACCAGAAACAACATTAAGTTGGATTTCGGCCAAAATTCCCGGCACACGGCGGTACGTTGTAATGCCGCGCGGCGCGGAGGACGCGCAAACACGCGCACGCTCTCGTGAACTTGAATTTTTTATCGATATTTCCGTTTACGCGGCCTGCTCCTAATGAAATTTAATAACCTCCGTCGGACCGTCCGACGACATTCGCGAAATCGCGCGCGAAAGGCGCGTGCGTGTGCGCGGGCGAAACACCGAATGTCGCGCGGGAACCAACGCCCGTATTTATGAAAACGACATTTTTAACAACGGACGCGCTGCGGATTCGACACCGTCCGAAAGCGTTTCCGAGCGATTTATAAATGCTGACGGATAACGCGGGCCGGGGAGAAATGGAGAGCCCGACGCGCGGCAACGGCACGCGCACGGTACACCGACCGCTGCCGGCGGAAAGTCCTTCTTCCTCTCCTGCGGCTTCACACGCCGGCCCGTTCAGGGTCGGCCGTGCCTTCAGTCCGAGCTCTCCTTTGACCGCATCTCCCGCCCCGCGCGCGTCGGCGGCTGTCCTCGGTATTCAGTTCCCAGTCGCGTCCGAATTGTTCAGTGTTCCTCTCCGCGCCCGTTTCCGCCCGCGTCTGTTTACCGCGACACTGCCCCGGATTCCGGATTCCGCTCTACCGCAGCTCGAATCGCATCCCGGTCTATTTTCTCGCATTCCGCGTACCGCCGAAGCCGCGCTCAAGCCACGCCTTCGGCGCTCGTCCGTGATAACAGACACCCGGTTTCACTTCTGCTTATCCTCCGGGCGCCGCTCTCCGTTCCGCGAGCCTATCGCCCGTTTATTCCGGACGTTCTCCTATCGAAGCTGCGAAACGTGCACCTCCGTCGCAAAAATGCGATTTTATTTTACGGGCTCCGAGCGTCGCTACGGCACCGTCGAAATCTATCGTTGTGGCCGCGCGTTCTCTGCAGACAAATGAGCGAAACGTGAGTTCAATCGTTCTTGATCTCTGCCACGTATTCTGCGAAAGACCTTTCTGCTCCTGCTGCAATCACCGGAATCGTAAAAGATATTCGGAGACTAACACTCGCGTTAACGAAAGCTGTTTTTTTTTTTTTTTTTTTTTTTTTCCGAGGGGAGGCGAAACGTCAATTATTATTATTGTACGCCTGCACTTGTATAATTATTATAATAAATTTCTGTTGGATACGGGAAAAAAAAAAAAAAAAAAAGAAAGGAAAAATGGGGGTTCATGTTATGATCGACATGCACGTTATAATTACGTCGAAAACAATTCACGTATATTATATTTTTTCGAAATATACGCGCTAGGTTTATGTGTACCTATAAAATATTGCCCAAAGGAACGTATACGTACCTGTATAGGTATTTTAATGCGTCTTGGAAATCGTTGAAATCCTTCAACGTGAACTATTATAATATGAATTATTGTTATTATATTTTACTATAATGAAGTCTTAAATTGAAACTATCGATACATAACGACGGGAATAGGGCGTATAAGACGAAAGTATGTATTTCGTAGTTTTTTTTTTTTTATTTTTTTTTTATTTTTTGGTATGTTTGTTTTTAGGAACAAAATTGGCATATTTATATTGCGGAAGGTTTTCACTAAAATTGCCAAAAAAAAAAAACCAACGCACGCCTCGAAAATATAATTTATCGGACCTGTCAGTTCGATTAAAATGGCCTAGCGCCGAGTTGTATTATGACTTTGACTTTCTAATATCTATGGGCTCACGGAAATATTTAAAATCAGATAGACGGACAGAACACTATGTATTGTAAATTTCGATATTTGTATTCTTACATTTTGCGTACGGTTAAGTCCGGCCACCGATGTCCGGTATACGTGAATCGGGCTTTGATTAAATCGGTCGAGGTTCGGTGTACCGGAACTCCACGGGGATAACGAAACTGCATTTGGGACAGCGATGGAATAGAAATGGAAGGTCCGGGGAAAGATTGACGATTGACGTGGCCGAAGATTTAAAAATGTGAGGAGTTAAAAACTCGGAGCCTCGGATAACTAAGAGAATGGTTGTCCGAGACGTGTGCAGATGTCGACTTAGAAATTGGGTATACCAGTAGGGGAATTAGAAGTCGAGTTGTCCGCCGGTAAGGTTTCAACAATACGTACCTTGAACATAATTTTTCGATAAAAACCATACTTGTGGGAAATTCGATACCGAGAATCGGTATCGTATAATGTTAGTGTAAATCCGGTGTGATTTTGGACGGGCAAAAAGGAATCTCGTGTCTATGATTCGGCTTGTGGAAAATAAGGGAAAGAAGTATAATTATGGGTTTTATTTTGTTTTTTAACAGATCGTACACACACACACACACACACACACACACCTTCCATCACAGGATTTTATAACATTTCTAAATTGTATCGACATTTCGTGATGGGAGAAACAGTGCATATTATGACGAAATAAATAATAGACGGATTTTTCCGCTAAAAAAAAAAAAAAAAAAAACAAAAAATTAATTTTCCAACAGCCGATCGATTTTCTACCGGGAATTTCGATACTGTAACCGTTTTGCCGATTCTGTGTGAGGAGGGCGCGGGGCCGTGTCGAAACGGACGAACGGAACGCCGGAAGAGTCCGCGGCGCGTTCGTCCGTCCGGATCACAGTACTCATTTGTGTTACGGATACGTTCTCGCGGAGCGACGACGACGACGACGACGACTGTTTTCCCGTGTGACGGCGGGACGGACGCGTCGTTTTTGCATTAACGTAACGTCGCGCTCACGCGAGCACGCGTACCGTGGTTCCGATCGCGTGTAACAACACGAGTCTGGAGCTCGGAAACTACAGGAGTCCCGCACTTGCGCGCCGGTTTTACGGCGCACCGCGTTGGACGTGATTCCCTCGACGTGACGGCGAGAGTTTGAAAACCGCACGTTCGAACGCATATTTCGCATAACCCGTTAATTTCGGTGGAAAAGCCCGTATTTCCTCGCGTATTTTTACGCGTATTATGCGCGTTTAATGTTTGCTAAAAAAAAAAAATCCACTGTTTTTCTTTCCTCGTTCGCGGTCGATTTTAGATAATATTGAATGTAAAGCTCAATACAATGATATTGACGTAGCCGGTGATTTCGTCATTTCGTACCGTCTCGGTCTGCTGTTAGTCTAACGACAACGGCGCGATTCGCATTTAATCTTTATTTTATTTTTTTTTGTTTTCCGAGCGTATTAATAATGGCGTTATAAATTTTTGAACAGTAAACTCTGAATTCTTTTTTTGCGTACATTTAACGTTTTTTTCACGCGCGTTTTACAATTTCAGAGATCGAGTTTACAATTATTTACAACTGTTTATAATCTGTCCGGAAGCGTTCAGACAGATTGCGGGGTGCTACGTGAACTTGACCCCCTAAAAATTCGGTTCCGACTCGACCGCCAAGAGGGTGCGTTTACACATTTGGCGATTGCATTTAACGGTTACAGCGAACGCCGGTTTTAAGATCCGGTCGCTTATTATACTTGAATTAATCACTCGAAACCGTTCGGATATATCCAAACACATTCTCCACTTCGCCTATGAGGTTCGTTCGGCCGAACGACTCGCTTTGCGCCGGTCCCGAAGCGAGTCTTACAAGCGGCGCCCACTGTGTTTTTTACAATTGTTTGCAATCGTTTTTGAATCCGTTTGCATAAGGCCGACGGGTCGATTCCGTGTGCGTCGCGGAAGACTCAATTTAAATATCGTACGTAAACGCATATCGTCGCACACGCGCAACGCATTTTAATAATAATTAATATCGTTTGATAAACGGCCCGGGGTCCGCCGACGACGACGATCAGATTAAACGATTAAACGCGTCCTCGACGGCCGGCCGGTCGAATTATTGTCATTTTATTACGGATTTCCGTCCGTCAAACAAAATACGGAGAATCGAAATAAATCTTTTTTTTTTTTTTCTTCGGCTAACGACACGACGGACAGCGACGCCGCAATTAACGCGCGCGATCGGATTAATCCGGGGCGCGACACGGACGACGACGACGACGACGACGAATAATAATAATCTGGACCCGGACCTCTCGAGAGAAGAGGAGTAGGAGGAGGAGAAGGCGGTGGCGGGGGCGGGGGCGGAGGAGGATTTATTTAGTTCTCCGTCGCCTTTTCGCCGTCCCGCAGAGTGCAATGTCATATCTGTTTAGAAGACAACGGCGCAGCGGCGCGTCCGATTAAAACGCGCGCGCGAGGGATCGACTTCCTTCGGCCCTTTGTCGTCCAATTATCCTTAATCGTCGCGCCCGTTATTATGTTATATACGTGTCCGTTTAATCCGATCCGAGAGACGGTGATATTGAACGTGACCGTCGTATCATAGTAATAATAATAATAATATTGTAATAAAGTTTTGCCGCGTGTGCGCGGTTCGTATATTATTACGATCGTCGGGTCGAGAACGTTAAAAGACGCGAAACGGTTAGGTTAGGCTGATAGTATAACTACTTACTGCTGTTGAACCGTCGGTAGGGAGGTCGGAAGGGACGACACAACGGTTCAATTTATACGTCCGGGCTCGACGATAAACCGCCGCTAACGAAAAACGATTCTGAGCAGAGTATTATTATTATTATTATTACTTTGTGTTTCCCTCGTCGCCGGAGTAATCCGAAAATCAATAGTAGAAACCGCCAGCTTTTTTCCGTTTCTCGAGAAAATTACAAATCAAAAAAATTAACTCTTGAACTAGCGCCGGCTAGTGATACTATACACTATGCTACGAGAAAATTCGTATAAAGCTGTTCGATTAGAAATGCCAGATGCAAATTTTTATACCTATTATACCAATTTATATCTGTAAGCAATGATTTTCAACCATTGCCAATGAAAAAACGATTCTGAACGGAGTTCAGTTGATAGTGTTGCTTTTTCAAGAATACATTTGTCATATTATGGTAAAATAATTATGTATCTATTAAACATTTGCATTAATAATATTTGTTTAATATTGTTCCGATTTTCCCGTTCTCTCGGTTTTCCAATGTTTTTTTCCCCGTTTTTCCCATTTATTTGGAAAACTCCTGGGAAGATCAAAAAATGATTTTTCTCAAGTACCACGCCAGTCAAATTTCCTTTTAGAAAAAGTTGTTCACGGGAAAAAAAAGGCCGTAATATTTTTCAACTAATACCTATAAATTTCGTATACTTTCCCGTTTTTCCTCAATTTTTTCCCGGTTTTTCCCATTTATTGAGAAAACTCTTGGGATATTCGAAAAATCTTCGTCAGTCAGATTTCTTTTTAGAAAAGTATTCTAAACTTTGCGTTGAAAAACGCAGTCTCTAACATTATCGCATGGTGCATACCTTCGCCGGAGTGACAAAACCTTTTTTCATCGTCCTGTATACTCAAAAATTTACCGTTATTTTTTCTGGCGGATATAATATTATTGTGATCGACATTTGACGGGGCAACCACTGCAGTATAATACGCGTAATATACAAATCGGCACCTTTATTTCGTAACCATTCGAACACTTTCATAATATTACACCCTGCGCGGTATATAAGACTGGTGTAATCGTAATGTATATTATCGAAATCTCGGACTGCAATCGTAATATTTTTTTCATTATTATTCCCGAACGCACACGCGCACATGCACACGCATACACACACACACACACACACGCGCGCGCGTGTAGCTATAGGTACCTAAGCTAATAATCTACACACCGCGGACTCCGTCGTCGTCGTGTAATTACCGGCAGCGCCTGCGAATCGCCATTACGATCCCCGCGTCTTTTTAACTGTCACTGGACACGCGAAAAAAAACAACGACCGGACGACGCCCCCGCCCAATAATAGTATCCACCTCGCCGACCGTCTATCACCCACCCCCCCTCAGCTCATGAAACTTATATTACACTGCGGCTGTGTGTGTGTGCGCGCGCGTGTGTGTGTGTGTGTTGGCTTATTATTGTGTG